CAACGAATATTCCTAAATGAAAAATCGTTGCGCATACCTATTTTGATTTATGTTTTCAATTTCGATGATATGACTATATTTATAATTATGAAAAGCCTTCTGAATTAAAAAGCTGTATTACCGGTAAAAACCCCAGAATTCATAATAAAATAAACATGTAACAGGCAATTTTTCCAACTTATGTATGTGTGTTGCGTGAGCAATTGCTTATTGAGCAAAAGATAACAATAAAACGGTGGCTAAACGGCTGCGTTTCCACTTTTGTCATGGGGGCCCTTAAATAGCCCAGTCTCGCACGGAGCTTACGGATACCTGGCGTCAATAAAAACAAAAAGGAGTCCGGACCTCCTTCAAAAAGACCGGAGGGAGCGAGTTGTTCTCAGAGGAGAGCAGCGTTTGGCACGAGGTCGACAACAGCCAAAGCGAGGACAGGAGCGAAGCTTGGTCCTGGAGCAAAGGCAAATACTAAGGGGGCAGAAGCCAAGACTGGCGCCAAAAAGCAGCAGCGCTGGAGGCAGGCCATACCAACCCCTGTAGCCAAGGCTTGGCAGCTAAGCAGGAGAAGGAGGGAGACGCCAAAAGCGATGCTGCCAGTAGTGGGTCAGCCAGAGAATGGCCTTCCTTTAAGATTGACGACCCAGCAAAAGCGAAGTATGCAGAGAGGCGACGCGCTGCATACCTGCTGAAGAAGGTGAAGCAGCAACCGCCAACCAATGAGGAGCTCACAAAGGAGCTACAGGAATCTATTGATTGCGCGAGAGCTGTTCTACCTAACTTCAAGCTAGAAGCGCCGGTAGTGGCAGCTAAAAGACAAAGGTCAGCTGAAGAGGCTAAGCCGTCAGCTAAGAGACCAAAAACTAAGGGCGTGACGCCCGCAAGATCTTTTGCTGATGTGGCCCGGAACCGCATTGTCATTAGGGTGCTGGATGAGGGTGACCCCGAAGGAAAAATCCCCAGAGCCCAATGGAAATGGGTGCAAGCCGCACTGACGAATGTGGCTTGGAAGTGCTACTAAGCAATCCAGGTCCACCCCCGTCATGTTCGGATGCCGAATGGTATCAAGGGCAGATAAAGATGATAGCGTGTGACGACGAGAGATCGGTCCAGCTATATAAGGCAGCAATAGCTAAGGTGGAGGAGGTCTACCCCGGAGCCAAGTTAGTAGCGGTAGACAGAAAAGACATCCCATCCCGACCGAGGGCAAGGGTATGGATCCCGGCTACACCATCGCAGCCGGACCAAATAATTCAGCTCATAAGAGCCTGCAACCCGAATCTGCCTACTAGGGGATGGAGATTCGTCAAGGCCTTTGACGACCCCGCAGCGGAATCTGGTGTGAAGACGAAACGAGCCACAATGCAGATTCTGTTGCTTCTGGGAGACGGGTGAAAAGAAATACCGGCTGGCATCATGCTACATGCCGTACGACGAGGGAGCAGCACCATCGCAGCTGTTCAAAGAGCTAGTACGAGACACCGAAGAATCCAAGTGTTCGATTATACTTGAGTGCGACTCCAATGCGCACCACACACTATGGGGAAGCACGGATATTACTCAAAGGGGTGAGTTTCTCTTCAATTATTTAATAGGAAGTAAGCTTTTGCTATGTAACAAAGGTAGTACGCCAACATTTATAACCAGAAACCGACTTCCTATTAGATATAACACTGTTATCGGAAGAACTGGTGTTTAAAATAACACATTGGAGGGTATTGGAGGAACATTCCTTCTCAGAAGGAAAAGAAAGAGGATCTAGACATCCTCGTTAAACGATTCACAGATTCTTGTTGTCAAGCACTAGAGGTAGCTTGTCCATTAACGTACAGTAGGGAAGAAATATACCTCCTTGGTGGTCTCTCATACTTAAGAACATGCAGAAAAATTGCAGGAAGCAATTCAATTTTGCCAAATTATCCCAAAAAGATATAGAATGGGATAACTACCATAACCACCTACGGACATACAAAAAGGAGGTAAGAAAAGCAAAAAGAAATTCGTGGAAATTTTTTTGTAATGACATCGAGAATACGGCAGAAGCGACTGAGAAAGATAATGACACAGTCGAAACATAGCATCGGATACCTTTAGAAGCCAGATCACAGCTGGACGGTATCCAGTAAAGAGACTCTAGGCCGACTAATGGATACTCACTTCCAAGACAAGTCCGAGAACCTCATAGGGGAACATATAATCGAGAGTGAAGTGGGCTCAGAGTCTCCTCCGCTAGACATAGTGTCAGATAGCAATGTTTATTGGGCAATAGGCAGATTCAAGCCTTATAAAACGCCGGGACCAGACGGGCTATTCCCGGCTCAGTTACAGCAGTCCCTGAGCTACACAATAAACTGGTCAACAACCATGTTTAGAGGGGCACTGAAATTAAACTATATTCCCTCGATATGGAGGGAAGTCATATATATATATATACCAAAGGCTGGCAAAAGCTCACACATTAATCCAAAGGATTTTAGACCAATTAGGCTTTCATCATTTCTTTTAAAAACGCTGGAGAGACCAATAGAAATACATATAAGGGACATACTAAATCCAGGAAAAATGGCAGTTTCGCAGCATGCGTACTCGAAGGGTAGATCCACAGAAACGGCATTAAGCTCAGTGGTAACAGAGACTGAAAAGTCTCTGGAAATAAAAGAATACACCCTCGTAGCCTTCCTAGACATAAAAGTGCCTTCAACAACATTCAGCCGAAGGTCATATTGAGCGCGCTTAAAGATCTGGGCATCTCTGAGCCTTTCCGGAAATTAATTGAACAGATGCTCTTGGGCAGGTCAATTATTTCAACGCTGGGAGCTTCAACGATGCACAGATCTGTCCGAAGGGGTACACCGCAAGGAGCCGTGTTATCCCCACTTCTCTGGATCCTGACAATGAATAAAATGCTTGTGGGTCTAGAAAAGAAGGGGTACATGTTGTGGCCTACGCTGATGATGTGGCAGTCTCGGTTAGGGGCAAGTTCCCGAACACCTTATGCAGGAACTAGTATTGTTCACTAAGAAACACAGTACTCCAGAAATCACGAAGCCATTTTTAAATGGCACCAGGCTAACGATAGGAGATAAAGCAAGCTACTTGGGACCAATTTTGGACAGGAAGCTTTCTTGGAAACAAAACTTGGAAGCGAGGGTAAAGAAAGCAGCTACAGCGCTTTACACATGTAAAAGAATGGTGGGGCCCAGATGGAGACTGACACCTCGGGTGGCTCACTGGCTGTACACAGCAATTGTAAGGCCGATCATGACCTACGGTATAGTAGTATGGTGGCCAATTACAGAAAAGAAATATGCGATTAGAAGCACGGAAAGTATACAAAGAGCAGCTAGTATTTGCTTCAGCGGAGCTCTCAAAACTACGCCAAGCCAGGCACTCAACATAATTTTACACTTGCTCCCAACAGATGTGTATTGCAAGCAAATGGCAGCGAAGCCAGCTCTGAGACTGAGGGAATCCTCCCTACTAGTCGCCAGCAACAAGGGGCATTCTATGATACTCAGAAAGTTCCCGTTTCTTCCCATAACTACGGATTTTCACAATCCTATGGAGCTGAACCTAAATCCGGTCCTCAATATTGCCTTCTCCTCCAGAGAGGAGTGGGAAAGGGATGTAGTGGACAAGGAAACAGGGATAAGCTTCTATACGGATGATTCCAAACTGGATAACCGAGTAGGCGGCGGTGTCTTCTCGACTAAACTAGATACCAAAATCGCCTTCCGGTTACCAGACCACTGCAGTGTCTTCCAAGCGGAGGTCACTGCAATTAAATAAAGCCTTCTTGTACTAACAAAAAGTGTAATCACAACAAGAAGTGTATTTATATATACAGACAGCCAGGCGGCTTTGAAATCGCTGATGTCTCATAGGATTTCGTCGAGGACAGTGAAAGATTGCTATGATCTTCTAGCGGATCTGTCATCCTATTTCACGGTAAATCTGCAATGGGTCCCAAGACACAGTGACATCCCTGGGAACTGCCTAGCAGATGAACTTGCCAGAACAGGCACCACCCTACAACTAGATCCTGATAAAGAGCACATAAATATGCCTCTGGCTACTTGTAGATACTTAATCGAGTGTCAGTGGAATCAGTCCCTGACCTGCTCAACTAGCAGGCAAACGTGGCAAGAATGGAATATGAGCCGCACATGCCGACTGTTAAAATTCTAGAGGAATGATATAAGAACTCTAGTAGGAGTACTAACAGGCCACTGTCTAATAGGCAGACATGCAAGTAGACTTGGCACGCCATATAACGACTATTGTAGAAGCTGTCAGGAAGTATAAGAGGAGGAGACCATTAAACATCTTCTATGCGATTGCGCAGCACTACATAGGAAAAGAATCGCAACCATCGGTCGTGGGTTTCTTGACGACGGCTCGGAGGTTGCACGGATAAAACTTGTCTCACTGGTGAAGCTCATCAGAAGTACGGGGTGGTTCAGAGAGGAACCAATAGAGTGAGGGGATCACAGTCCCAGTGGTATCACAATGGGCCTCCTTAAGGCCTAAATATGTCGAATGACAGCCACTTTACCTAACTACCTAGTTTAAAAACGATTATAGGTATGAATTTATGTGTATTTATATTTTTACGTATCTATTAATTATATTACGTCAATAAGTCATTAAAGCATTCGTATTTTTCAATACAAATTAAGCAACATATTAATATATTATGAGCCCTCACTTCACACGCCTCTGTGTATGGTGGCAAGCCAACGAAATAACGGCGAGTTCGCGCGGACATTGTGTTGTTGAAAAAACCGAATGACGACTTTGTCGACAAGCATACATACATACATATCAGAGAACGTAAATGAATAGAGAAGGAGCAAATGCTAAATGAAATCGTTTTGAGTACTAATTTCAGAGAACGTAAATGAATAAAGAAGGAGCAAATGTTAAATGAAATCTTTTTGAGTACTAATTTGTAATTCCAAATGAGGGAACATCGAAAAATATAACTTCGAAAAAGGAAAATACACCAACGAATATTCCTAAATGAAAAATCGTTGCGCATACTTATTCAGACTTATGTTTTCAATTTCTGAATTAAAAATCTGTATTACCGGTAAAAACCCCAGAATTCATAATAAAATAAACATATAATAGCAGAGAACGTAAATGAATAATTAATCATTTACGTTCTCTGATTTAAGCATAAAAATGAAAATGTACAGCGCCATCTCATCGTCAAATTTTACATTTTTAATGTGGACAGAAACAAAAACTCAAATCAGAGAACGTATATTATAATATAGTGCCATAATATACGTTCTCTGCTCAAATGGTTATTACGAAAAAAATAAATCTTAAAGGATAGATCTGGTAAGCCTAAACAAACAGCTGATTTATTAAATTAAAATTCAGCACACACCACACAGTTCGCGTAATACAGATATTTATGAATAAAGTGCTTTAGCAAAGCCAAAAAATGTTACAATTTGCTAGAATTGCTATAAGAAGTGGTAAATAACAATTAAACACTTGTGTAAAAGAATAGTTTTCATTGATATTAATTGCAGTTGCTGTCAACCACCGGACGGCCGTAACCCCACTTTTAAACATTTCAATAACTCGGCGAAATTTTAGTGCACCTGTGGAAAATAAAGATGAACCCATTGATATACCTAACCCATTCGAAAAAGAGCGCCGTATATGCATTCTTTGCAAACACAATATAGTTCCAGATTATAAAAATGTTAAACTACTATCCCAGTTCCAGTCACCTTACACAGGTCGTATATATGGTCGGCATATTACTGGCTTGTGTAAACAAAAACAAGAACAAGTAGAGAAAGCAATTATTCGTGCACAAAATTGCGCTATGATGCCGACGTACCACAAGGAAATGGACTTTATGCAAGATCCGCGTTTGTTTGATCCTGAAAAACCGATACGCCCCCATAAATACTAAATGACGTAAAGCAATTCTTAGGTATTTAATTTTAAAAGTTTTAATTTTCGCTAACCGCATTAGGAAATAAACATCTTGTTAATTCTGAAAATGTGTGTAACTTTGTTTGTATTTATGTAATCTTGTTTTATTTAACGAATGCAAATGTATCTTGTATTTTTTCCAGAGCTCTTGCAAAATCTGCCTTCCACTCTTCTACAGCCCGATTAAGTTCCGCTATGCGTTGTGTGTGTTGCTTACGACGTTCAAGTTCCTCTTGTACGATTTTTATTTGCTCCAGTAAAGATTCCTTTGAAACTTGCAAATCTCCATCTTGTTGGGATTGCACTATACTTTCCTCGTCTTTATCACAAAATTCTGTCGGAATATTCAGTTTTACAACCAATTTTGATCCAGGTGTCTGAATGTGTTTAGACTTATCTTTCATGGATGTATTAAGTTTTATATCTTCCATTTTTAAAAAAGGAGTTCGGTTTTTCGTAAGCCGTTTACCGATTTTTTTTAAATAGAAATTAAAAAATACTAAAATTTTTCAGTTGAAATTTAGCAAATATTGTTTGGAAAATAATTAGGAATTGATTGAAATTAGTTACTTTGATTTCTCTAGCGTTGCGTTTAATGTCCTTTTATTCTATCAAAAGAAAGATACATGAAGTATATATAAACAAAACTACGTTTTTTTTGCTGTTGATGTACAATATCGTTTTTTACGAAACCGATTAAAATTTTAATTTGTTTTTCTTCATTTTTCTTTTGTCGACTTTTGTGAAAAAACTGAAAAAAAGAAAGAAAAATGCAAAACTTGTATAAATATAAATAGAAATTCTTGCCATAAACCAAGAAAATGAAGTCGATATTCAATATAATTGACTGGCATGTATTTATATTTCGTGTACACCCTTTATTACAGGTTCCATATTGTCATTCAGCAAAACTGCTGAGTTTCAGAGATAAACTAGTCATCTGTCAAAATAGCACCTGACAAGCGAAGATAACAGAATAACTAACAAATTTTAACATAAATTGAACGAATGGTGCGGTGTGTGGAACAGTAAATTCTTAACACTATTTCCTTGTTACTAAATATTTCTGTTTATTTGCGTTTATTTATTAATTTTGCGGATATTGTAGAGTATTTTTGTGCACGAATTAACAGAATAAGCAAAAAACAAGGGTGAGGTCGAGCAAGCATAATTCGTGACGCGAATACCAAAGTGACGGCAATATTCGACGCCATTTTTTAACATATGTATGTAAGACTAATTACCTAAAAAAGTGGTTGGTAAAGAAAAGTGCTGGTGTGATCAGAAGCAAAGCTAAATGAGCTTAATTAATTTCCTGAATTCCAAACTAAAGCCTTCCGTAGAATGCGAAGCTCTATGTGAAGATGGTTTTTCTGCAAACAATTTGATTGCAGACGATGCAGAACAACTTACACGGGGCTTCTTGGCGTATGCTGTTTCTAAACCGCCTGTGGAGATTGTTTTCGACTTCCCCAAAGCTGTGGAAGTGAAGGTAATCAAGTTATGGAATAGCAATGGTGCTCTACGTTCGACCGCTTTTGAGCTACATGGGAAGTTCGAGGGTATTTGGGAACGTGTTGCTTATGCTCGTGACCTTGCTGAGGGCGTCGATTCTGTAACGTTTTGCTATCAAAGTGATTATAATTCGCGTAGTAATGCGGAAAGTGCAGCTACTCAAGCTCAAAGCAAAAAGGCATTTTTCTTTAAGACAGCGCACCGATTACTCGCCAACGCCAGTAGTTTAAAAATAATAATTTGTGCTACGAAGCGATGTCCACCAGTGCTGCGAAAAATCGAAGTATGGGGGTTGCCTTCACGATCATTGGAGAAAGCCGATCGTGAACTTGTTAAAACAATCTGGAGTGAGATAGTCAACCCGCATGGTTTTCAAACGCCACAAGACAGGAATCGTCGCTCACCAACACGTAGCATACCAGAATTAAATGAGTACTCAACATTGAAAATACCAGAAGAGTTTCTGGATGAGATCACCTGGGAGCTAATGGTTGGTATTATAATCTTTTGCTATGAGTTTTTAATGTCATATTTTTTATTTTCCTTTCAGATTTTTCCTACTGTACTTCCGTCAGGTAAAATCGTGGACCAATCCACAATAGATAAGCATTCTGAAGTGGAGTCTAAATGGGGCCGTCTGCCATCGGATCCTTTTACTGGCCTTGAATTTACCTCACAACGCAAAGCAATTCTTAACCTCGCCCTGAAGGCACGCATAGAAAAGTTCCTTATGGAAAATTCCGAACACTTTAAAACAGTACCACGTTCACTAGGGAGTTCCTTTGTTCGACGCAGCAAAAATCGACATGCCTCACAGTTTGCAAGCTTTTGCCAACGTCACAATTCCAGTATCGGTACTTACTCATCATTATCGGCGGCATTTTACAAGTCTTCTTCACAAGCTTCCGCAACAGCTACATCATCATCAATACCGCCGCCAAAACGGGCCAGACTTACTGATAACGCTACATATCGGCTGGAAACATCCCTTACCTCTACAACAACACACACCACATCCAGTACTCCATTGTCACTTTCCTCAAAGTCAATGCCATTTTCAATGGCAGCTTCATCAGCCTTATCGACAGCATCTTCCACCACAATTCCAACAGGCATCGATCAAGCCATTCAAGAAGCATTAAAAAATGTCACACGCTATACATGTACGCCCGCAGAAACGAAGCCACCAGTCACATGTATAAGTTGTAAAACGGAACATTTCTCATATGAAATTATTACATGTGGGCATCTGGTATGTCGTGCTTGCTTAGTACAGTTAACAAAGGACGAAATGTGCACATGTAAAGCGAGCTTTCGCACGATCGATGTTGAACGTTACCATAAATTGTAAGCGTTCACGTATTTGGCGGTGTTAACGTTAGAACTGATTAATGAGCATAAATGAAGTCATTAAAGTGCTAGTTTGGTTTTATAATTTGCCTCATGTTTGTTCGGTCACTGTTATGAATCGTTGGCAAGGTTAACTGTGCGGTTTAGCGACACAGAGGCTTGTACAATTTTTGTTAACGTTGTCCAAGTGAAAGAAATTAAATATTGTTGCAAAGTATTTCAAAATGCTCATTTAGAGTATTATTAAAAGGCTTTAATGAAACAGATTTTGTGATTCATATGATTCATACGCTTATGTTCATAAATACATTGATATTTTTTATTATTTTGTAGTTTTTATTTTCCAACGATTTGTAACAGAGCTACTGAATAGTTATTTAGTCTCAGGCTAGTTTTTAATAATACTTAATCACATAAAAATAAACATGAAAATAATAAAAAAAACTGGATTTCATTACACAATGACTAACGCGTTATAGCGATACATTTAGCGTTGGTTAAATATATAAACTTGAAATTAGCATTTACATACATGCATTAGAATGTATGTAGCTCTGTTCCATTTGTGTTTTAAAAGTTATTTGAATTATCGAAAATTTGGTTTATGAATCCAATATATATTCTCGGCTTATATATAATTGGACATACAATAATAAATATATGATAAGACAAAAACATATGTATATGGACTATAACATTTGCAAACATAAAAATATATACTCCACATTAAGAGGTAAATATGTGCGTATACTAATCCGGAATTAAATAAACCCCATAAAAATATCCAAATAAAAATATTTACATTGAATAAAATATTTCAAATTAATAAAACATGTTTTTGTTTCAATGAAGGGCTTGAAGATAATTGTAATACTATTTACATTAACACATTTCATGTAATTATTTATACTTTTAATACTTTATTGGTAAACATGTTCTCGAACAAGTACAAGATTACCTCAATTTAGTTTCCACTTAGTGATTTTTCGTATTCATACTTCAGCAAACGAATTTTGCGTGTTTTTCCACCTCCATATTTAATATCACCATTCTTTGACACCACACGATGACAAGGTATTACTATAGATATTTCATTACTACCAACAGCTGTACCTACTGCTCGCACTGCATTAGGGTTTCCAATTCGATTAGCGATATCTCCATATGTACATGTCTGACCAGAGGGTATTTTTAACAATTCATTCCACACAGCCTCTTGAAACGGAGTACCAGATACGACAACATTGAGAATCATTTCTTCTTCACTAAATATTCTATTCGCCAGAACTCGCGCTTGACTCAAGTCTTCCAAGAGCAGAGCATTTGGCCAACGTTTCTGCAGGAGCGACTCATAATTGTTTGTTATATTTTCCTTGTCTTCACTTTTAGCAAAGTGTAAATAGCAAATAGCGTCATTCGCATCTTTAAGGAAACCCAATACGATGTCGCCAAATTGACTGTCAACAATGCCATATGATATTCTAACAGGTTTTTTATTACCAAAGGATTTAAGAATAACTTGTTTAGATCCTAGCATTCCGATGATATCATTAGTGAAGTAATTGAATAGGTTGCTTTGTTATGATATTTGCGTTTTTTTTTTGCTTCTGCCTGTTTGGTGGAGTTGCCGGACATTAATTTAAATACTTTTTATATATACATAGATATCAATTATTACAAAGCATATGATTAAGTACAACAATTTTCATATACTCAACATCCATTATTTAAAAGTTCAAATGAGTAAACAAATTTTATTGAAACATCCGGGTGTCAAGAACTTACCTTCTTAATGAAAGCCTTTTGAATCTATAAAACAAAATAAAATACTATAACATAAATTTTAACACGCATATTAAAACGCTTCTGCCATTATTGATGGAAATTGGTAAGTCTCATTCTTTTGCATTCAAAAATTTGCATGATGAATGTTACAACAGTTTTCCATTAAAAAAAAAATTGTTTGAATATGTAGTGAAATTTTACAAGTATGTTAGGAATTACCACCGTCTTGTAAAGCTTGTTGTTCTTTAAAAATAAAAATAATAATATTTAACTATTGCAGCACCAATAATAGTAAGTAAAATCCATCTCCTTGTGGCAACTTTATTAATAACGGGTATTGTTTCATTTCCTATGGCGGACGATTTATTCCACTTAGTTGTTTCTAACACAAAGTGGAGAAAACATCATTAATTGTCAACATGTTTATATTTTTTTGCAATAAATGTTTTTGGTCAAAGACTGCGGAAAATTCAAGCAAATTCTATTTTTCGAACTGCGGTCACGTCTTCTGTCAGTCCTGCACGCCAACGGGGCTATGCCATATTTGCAAGGCACCCTACGTAGCCAGGACAATCGACGCCAATATGACCAAATCTATGGCCGTATATTTTGAGTCGACGGTAAATACATTTCGTCGGTTTCAAAAAATCGTTCAATTTCAAATCATGCAGGATTCTTTAAACGCGCATTACTACGTCAATTGCTTGCCGCTTCAGATCAAAGCTGCGCAAAAGAAACTTAAAGGCATGTTGCGAATCGATGCACATCTGGATGAGAAATTAGCGCACGAAACCACACGCATTGAGAAATTAAAGGCTTATTTAGCTTATAATAAGCGAAGTTTACAAGAGCGACATCAGCGTCCGACACGCGGTCGCTCTGCAACGTCGTCCGCATACAGCAGAGTTAGTAGTCAGAATTCACGCCCTGAGACACCAACAATAAGCACTTTATCGGACGTTACAATGTCCAGCGCCAATTGCACAAAAAGTACAAATTTAAGCGATCAAAGTGACTCATTCTTAGATCATGTTCGGAACGATTTCACTATATAAAGTTTGAAATGAAATTGCTTGAATATTAATGAATAAAACTCAAAAAACTGCAAAATAGCTTTATCTTACCAACTGAATATATAACTTTGTGTGTAAGCTTAATTTAATTATAAGTGACTGTATGAAGTTACACTGGTCTACAGTGTTTTTTTTAACCGTAGATATATACTCGATTTTGGATATATATATTTGTGCTCACAATTTATGAAACTATTAATGATATTGTAAAATTTGCTCTCGTTTATTTTTAAATCTTCATTACAACCTGAACAGGGTATACTAAGTTTGCCACGAAGTTTGTAACACCGAGAGGAAAATTTTCTAGAAATTTTTTAACTTGATCATTTATTCAACCACTCAGTTTGTTTTGAGAAAATATGGCAAATGGTATAGATGTTTCATCTTCCCATTCACTTCCACGAGTAGAGTGTACCGTTTTCTAGAAATTTGGTACATCATATTTTCTGAGGGCGTGTGAATTACATTGTGAATTACATACTTTTGAAACGAAACCAAGATTTTCATTGAGTAAAACAGGACATTTTGTAAACCTTTGTAAAACCTTAAAACCTTCCACATAAACCATTTGCTCTCGCAACATAATGCTAGTTTTCGCATATATCATATTTGGTAAGGAGCCTAAGGGTGGGGATCACGATAGGTGCGCACGACTGGAAAAATAAATGTTATCACTAACAAGCCGGTAATTGTTCAAAGAATTACAAGTATATATGCATCCATCATAAAAACAAGAACTCATTCAATACTTTTGTGCATAAATCCGTAATTTGGAAACATCAAAATTTGCTAACATATCCAGGGCAACAAAATACAATTTTTTTGTAGAGCTGTGTTATAATTATGCTTAAGGTTGAATTGAATAACGCTTTAAATTAAATTAAAATTAGTAGCGGCTCTTTGAATATCTTTAGCTAATAGCTGGTATAGCGTAAGATTAATATTAATATTCATGCTTTGGAGTATTAAATTTGTAAATATTAATAGGGTATTAAGATTCTAAATTTTTTACAAGCTTTTTTTGTTTTAAATGAATGCATACTACTTCAAGAATGTCGTATATAAATTTCGCTCCTAGCAAAGTTGTGGAAGTTATGGACATTTTATGATCGGATCAGATTTCAAAACTTTAAGCCGTTTTCCTCACAATTCACGTTTTGTATTTGGAAAACTATTTCTATACATAATTTCCGAGGTAACGCTGTTTTGCTTTTTTAATTTGTTAATTTTTTAATATACTTAATTTTTTAATAACAAATTCACCGATTTTTTCGCAAAATATCGCGTTTGTTAGTTCAAAGTGTACCTAAAAAGTAAAAAGTTTAAATTTCGAAAAACCTCCCAGCATTACTTGAGCAAAGCGATTATCTAACGATCTAATTTTGATTTTACGAGTTAAGCGGGGCACCACAATTAAACTTTTTTTTCGAAACGCTCTAGTATAACTGCTGCTTATTAAACAAAAAAACAGGCATTTTTTTCACGAATTAACCCTACTCTCCCCTTGAGTAACACGTGAACACTTCTACACCTGATTGTTCGGCATGTACCCAACTTCTCAGATTCAGCGACACCTAATAAAAGCTAATCAATGTGCCAGGCGTAAAACTCGTGTATGACAGAGCTAATACAATAATAACATATAGAGAATATTTTTTAATTGATAACATCCATAGATCCTTTATAAGCGAAAAAAGTAAAACGTTTTAATAAATGTATTAGATTAGCTCAGCGATAACAAGTTCAACGTATACTACTTGTATATAGGCTATAAAATAAGCTTACTTCTTTTGGAAAATTTAAAATAAACTCGGTAATTGCAGCGATTTGTTGATTAGTTGTGGTCAAACGTGTAATTGAGAGGTATTCAATATTGAAGTGAAAATGTGGCGGCTTTTACCAGTAGCTTTCCTTGCTGTTTGTGCGGCGGTGCTTATTCCAGGAGTGCCACCGGAACTCGCCTCTAACGACATTGTGCTCTCTGCCATTTCGAGTTGGTGACTATTCGGCAATAAATTGAATTGTTATAAAACATTTTTTTATTCCATTGTTAAATTTAAACATTCAAGAAGTAAATTAAACTAAATTTAAAATTTTTATTAAAAATTTAATTGCAATATGAGCACTTTTATTTGAATACTTGTTTTTTTTTGTATTAAATTTAAACATTTAATAATTAAATTTAATATGAGCTCTTTAAGTTAATTTTTTTTTGTTAAGTAAGTTGGCTAAAATCGTACGGAACCGTGGCTTACAACACGTGACGGAAAGCTCAAAGTACTTTCGGTCTTTAATAATCATTCAAAAATGTATACCATATACGAGTATGTGTGAGTGTTTAACAATGCGCACGTTTTACCGATAATGACTGATCAGCATTCAGAAACAAAGCAATTATAAAATTAAAACAATAAAAAAAGTTCTCAAATTCACACGCATATAAAAACATGCTTTTCGATAAGCTGTAAATTCAAATTTTATTTTACTTTTAGATGAGATTGCACAAAAGTTATCGGATGAATACATAAAATACCTCAAGACTGGAGTGGAAACAGCAGCACTACGGCAAATCAGTGCACAGCTGGCAAATGCGCACAGTAAAAAGGACCTTTTCACCAAAGAGCTGGATCAATTGTCTTTAGCTGATCAATTTGTTGCTTGCACCACCTGTCGTGCAACGGTTAATGTTATCGCGCGTTCGGTTCGAGAGGAAGATGGTCCGGAAGCTGATGAGAAGCTGAAAGGCATTACTTTGGACGCATGTAATAGGCTGAAATTACAAACTCCAGAAGTGTGTGAAAACCTGATTGATTTTAATCTTGCAAGTGTTATCTACATAGTCAAGAATACGAGGATCGATTCTAATACATTTTGTTCGTTATTTATGCAATTCAATTTCTGTAATGTGCAAAATGCCGATTATAATTGGACGCTCACAATTGATGGCGGTGGCGCGGCTGTTATGGCCCCGAAATCGGATTTACCCGCCAAGAATGGCAATGAATTGAAAATCTTGCAGTTAACTGATATTCACTATGATCCACTGTATGTACCTGGTGCTTTGGCCGAGTGCGATGAGCCACAATGTTGTCAGCGCCACGTCGGCAATACAACGAGTGACAAGGCGGCGGGTTATTGGGGCGATTACCGTGGTTGCGATGCACCTTGGCATATGATTGACGATGCATTGAATCATATCAAGAATACACACACTGAATTCGATTACATTTATCAAACCGGTGATGTTGTTGATCATATGGTTTGGGGTACTTCTGTTGCGAAGAATAATGACAGTTTGTGGAAATTCAGCAATCGCTTAGCTGAGGTTTTCCCCGGTGTACCAGTATATCCCTGTATTGGCAACCATGAACCACATCCAATGAATCTGTAAGTTGCAACGTGAATATTTCCAATCAATAGTAAAGTAATTGTAACGTTTAAACCTAGTTTCAGTCCAGACGATGTGCCGGAGAATATCAATACCCGTTGGCTTTATGAACAATTATATGAACAATGGTCTACTTGGTTGCCAGCCGATACAAAAGAAACCATTCTAAAGGGTGGTTACTACACAGTTTCACCAAAAGCCGGTTTTCGTGTGATTGCGTTGAATAACAACGATTGTTACACCTCAAACTGGTGGTTATACTACGAGGGCACGAATAAGATACCACAACTGCAATGGCTTCATGATACCTTGTTAGCCGCTGAAAAGGCAGGCGAATATGTACATATACTGGGGCATATTCCCTCAGGGGATGGTAGTGGTTGGTCCGTATGGGCGCGTGAATTTAGCAGATTGGTTGAACGCTTCAGAAACACAATTAGTGGCATCTTCAATGGACATTCACACAATGACGAAATGCTTATGTATTACTCGGAGAAAGGTCACGCGATTGGTGTTGCTTGGAATGGTGGCGCACTAACGATATATTCGGATAAAAATCCGAATTACCGCCTATATTATGTGGAAGCGAAAAGCATGGTAAAGTAGCTATACGACGTTAAGATGCATACGTGTTAATAAAAAAAAATGTATATTTTTTTAATTAAGCAAGTTGTAGATCACGAAACATGGATCTTCAATTTAACAGAAGCCAATGCTAATGGTGACAGTCAAACACCAAAATGGTTTAAAGAATATGAGTTCTCCGCTGAGTTTACGGAAAATCTAAGCCCAGCGGGCATCAATACTTTGCTTAATGAAATGGCTGAGAACCCAGACATTCTTAGAAAGGTACAAAACGTATATTTTATTAACATTTTCATACGCAATATTAAATATTCTCTTTTCCGTCGCTCCCATCCTAGTTTTGGACGTATAAAATGACTACTGCCGATCCGAAAATGAAAGAGGGTTGTAATAGACTTTGCCTGCTCTCCACGATCTGCCGCATAGCGATACCTGTGAATACTCAGAAAGCGCGTTGTGAAGAGCTGCAAGCCAAACTGAATATTGCTGTAAATTAATCCATTAACAAAGTGTAATTGCGGTCCTAAATATATTACAATTCCATTTTCAGTTGGACAATGAAACTACTACTACAAGTACCACCACTACATCGCCTGCCGCAACGGCATCGCCCGGTACAACGACAACCACTACCAAAAGTCCTGGTGGTGGCGGTGCGGCTTCCTTAGGCATCTCAATGGTTAGTCTTGCACTAGCGGCGGTTTTGTCAATCATCCATTATGTTTGAAAACCAAAAAATGGATGTTTGACAATTTATATTTTCTCCTTACGTATTTATTAACATTTTACTACAATCAAAGCATATTAGAAAGTATTAAGTTCGTGCGGCCGGGATGTTAGAAATAAATTTAAAAAAAAACAGTATCAGTAAATCAAAATAGTTAAGTATTGTCTTTCATTTGCATTCCTGAATTCAAATCCTTGGTCGTCAGTGTAAATATTCGACAGAATACGGTACGTCTTGAATACGTAAAAATTTTTCACTAGTTTTCGTTTAAAAGCTGTGGCTGAAATTTTGGTAACTCATGAGTTTTATTACTTTTAAATTTAAAGTTCTGCTTTGCTAATCCCATTTAGCCAAGTCCGTGTAATTTTTCTCTCTTTTATTGTAAATAAAATCGAAGGTCAGCTGTCACTTTTATTCTAACTTATTCCTCTTGCTGTATAATCATTAATGAGCTTTAGTAAAATTTCGTAATTTGCATTCAATTGTAATACGCTAAGGATGATTTCTTGGTTACAAAAAGATGCGCACATGCAATGTGAAAATTATAAATTGGACCCCAACAATTTATGAGGTGAAGGTTGCACACTAAAAATATAAAATGTTAATGTGGTATCTTATTATGCTAGCCTTTGCTGTGCGTCTCTGCATGCGTTTGAATTTCCACTGGACTTCATCTGATTTAGTTGCAATGTTCACGGTGAATTATTTCTGGTGTAATTAAATAAGATCCGTTTTATTTCTTAAAACTTGGCTCAAAATAGTTAAATTAATTTCTATCCACATTTTTCGTGATATTTTTAGACAAAACTTGTTTTGTTTTTTATGTACTATATATTGCGACAATTCTTATTTATTTATATACTAAGATAATTACTTGCAATTTGTTATAAATCATGAGCTTTTATATGTTTATGAGCACAATAAAAACCAAGCTTTTAAAAACAATCCGTTTGAGAATCTTAACATATCATAAATCAAATCAAGTACCAATACTTCAATATATAAGTATATACATATATGACTATTATAAACAATAACAGAAATATTTCTTTTATTCGAAAAAAGTGATAAGAAAAGTACATCGAACCGGTAAACAGAGCCGTAATAATATAGCGTTAGTCTATATCTGTACTTACCGTATATATGTAATAGGGTTGATACTCAGAAAAATAGGTCCTTAGTCATCTCTTAGAAAGTCTCTCAAAGTATCAGCTGAGTAAAAACACGTCAAGTGGACCTCCCATTTTCCACTTGATCATCCAATTTGAATGTGAGTATTTTTCATAAATCAGTCACCATGAACAAGGAATCCCTCACTCAGTTTTTTTAAATTTTAGTTTTAACAACAATTTTTTTTAATTGAATTTTTTTTAAAAAATTAATAATTAGAAAACTATTGGTGATTTTTTAATGAAATTTTCAGGAAGTTTAATACTTGTACTTTGAGAAAATATGTATGAATTAAATTTTTTTTTTCATATTGATGAAAATTTTCTCAAAACATTAAAAAAATTTTTTTCAGTATTTGCCAATAAACATTAAAGTAACGAAATCTGCAAAAAAATTTGATTGATCGCGATTAGATTAAGCAAAAAAAAATTTATGACGGGCGGTCAGAGCTACCGGTATAGCGCACTACTGCGTGTCAATGACTTATCTTTAGAGTTACTTAGTAAATATAAATAAGGAATACTACTTCATTTTTTGATTAAAAATATTGTTATTTCATGACGATTGTTATATTATGAATATTGTTATTTATAGGTATTTTTTTTGCAGTTGTCACCATTCGTTTGGAAACTTTAAACTCTCTCCTTATCATTATAATCGACCAATCTGTAGGAAGCGTAGTCAAAACCGGAATTTTATCAGCTCTAGTAGTTTTACCATTGAAAGCAGATTTAAGGTTATTAAGTACAAGCTCTTTTGGATCAATTTTACTATTTATATTGTTGATATTATCCGTAAATTTATTCACAACATTTGTTAAAACTTTTTGACATTCTTTATTACTTGAGACTCTCTTGATTTTGATTGGAGGTTAACCAATTTCCGTTAAAAATTTATTAACCTTATCAATTTTTAATTGGTTATCTACCGGTTTGCAATAGAAAGTAGGATCTTTTTCTTCGTCATCTTCAATCACATCATTTGACTTCTCAGGCTTCAGGATATTTATTCACCGATAATTCATCAAGAATTTCAGGTTTTCGGCCTGAATAAATAGTCCGTTCACATGAATTGCACATATAATTCCCAATATATTCTTTAAAATCATGAATGGCTCGAGATAATCCTTTGTTGTTCACATAGACACTGGGACATAAAATATTAAGATGCTATCATATTTATTTCTTTTAACCGCAAAGGATTTAGTTCGAATATCATTTTATTTAAAAAAAGAATTGAAATAATTCAAGGATGTTTTATAATGAATAGAAAAAATAAAGGTTTTTAATACTTAAAGAATAGGAAATTCCAGTTATAAATTTGGCCTTGAAATATTAGTAGCGGGTATTCAATACATTCTGGTGGATTAAGGAATTCCCGTTTTTATTATTTCTCTGAAAGCATTAAGTTGCATATTGTTTTACCACAGTCATGGTAATTCATCGCAAGCAAAATGTGAGACCATCATCCCAACATACAAATGAAATATGCAACACACTCTAAGTGTCGCGTTACCGAACCGCACAAACATTTGCGAAAATTTTATAAAAAGGAACGACAGAAAAACTCGATTCGAGTTGCACAGAGCGACACCAAAAAAGAATTTGCCGATAATGAGGGTCAAAAGAGTCCCCATGTAAACGCAGTATGTACGCGCGGCAGCGCTGACCGCCCGTCATAAAATTTTGTTTGCTTAATCTAATTGCGATCAGTCATTTTTTTTTTGCGGATTACCTTACTTTAATGTTTATTGCAAAATACTGAACATTTTTTTATCAATTTAAGTCATTAAAATTTTCATTAGTTACCTTAAAAGTTAATTAACAATATGAAACAAGTAAGGAAGGGCTAAGTTCGGATGTAACCGAACATTTTATACTCTCGAAAAGTCAAATGGTATACTCGTTTGATGCCCATCTGCAATACCAATCGTCTCACGGTACCAAGAAACATGTCTACCAAGTTTTATAAAGATATCTCAATTTTTACTCAAGTTACAGCTTGCACAGAGGACAGTCACCCGGATATAAACTCGTCTCTTCATCCTGATCATTTATATATACCTATATAACCCTATATCTAACTCGATTAGTTTTAGGTGATACAAACAACCGTTAGGTGAATAAAACTATTACACTCTGTAGCAACAGGTTGCGAGAGTGTAAAAAAACTGAGTGAGGGAGTAGAGTTTTCTATCTTTTTCTTCTTATCAGATAGAAAAATTCATATCTTGCTTCCAACTACTTGAAAAAATATCTCGTTTCATAAATTGTAACTTTCATTGAATGAAAATGTCCTACAAATCTATGAGTTTTGCAATTTAAAATGACTTTTTCAATTAGTAGTCAAAGTAGTTGGAAGCGAAATATTAAGTTTTCTATCTCTATACACTTGGATTAACATTAAAATGCTTAATTTTAATGAAGGTTGGTATAAATGACCAAAAGCTCAAAATTTTTAATCCGTGGTTCGGATCGAAAGACATTAACTGCAGTCTTGCTACTCCCCATCTAGATTCTCTGTACTACCAGTACAGTAAGACCTCGCTTAACGCTGTTACGGTTGAGTGCTCTTTTATTTCAAATCGGTGATCACCGAAATTGTGCATCTGAATACACACATACATACATTTAATCAATGGACCAAAGCGTTATATAAAATTTTAAGGCTTATTACTTGCGGCTAACACTAAAACAGATGTTTGAAAAAATAAAAGTAGATGTAGATGAGAAGCAATTTCAGAGAATTTTGGAAAAACTACAATACCATGAATGATGTAGAAAACATAAACCTTTCTAGTAATGAGATAACATAAATATATTTAAAAGTATTATGACAGGACATTTAAGTAAGTGCGAAGACATTAGACACTCTGTCGATATGGATGAAATAGTGGAATTAGCAAAACAAACCAGTCTAGAAATGTGGAAAACCTCGGAGAAATATTTCAGAAAACAGTCTTAGTTGAGGAAGATGAAAACAAAAATATTGACAGTAGCGATTTAGAAGAAGAGCAAAGAAACTTTCCATGGCGTTTGTCAAAAGGAGTTTTACCACTCTAGCTGAAATTATGCACCAATTTATTGAAAATGGGGTGTTATATACCATATATTTTATCTACTTATCAACAACTTCTAATGGAATGCAAAAGGAAAACACAAACTACATTAAACGCTTTCTTGACAAAAAGGTAGAAAATTAGAAACACAAAATAGACTGAATGATCTGACTGACGTAGAATTATATTTGTTTTTGTAAGTATATTCGTCTATATTGTTTTTATTTTTGTAAGAAATAATTGTTTGGTTTTAATACCTAACCAATTTTCTATCAATCTTCTCCTAACCCCATTATTTACATGTTAAGATAGCCTCGTTTGGCGCTATTTCGCGCTACGCTCTACTTCGAGGAAACGTATCCTACACATTAAACTGGCCTTATTTGATTTTCGATATTTTGAAAAACGATGAGTTTAATGTTTGGCCGTGCTGTCTTTTCATTGTGGATTCTCATTATCAGATTTGCGTTGTACTTTGGCACATGTTTAACGACGCTTTGTATCACATTAACATTACATATGTCAATCACATAGTTTGGAGCACCTTTGATGCGAAAAATAGTGATATTTTGAAGAAGGTTATAAAGATCGCTTAGCTTTAGTATTTCCAGGTGTATCAAAACATCCTTGCATTGGTAACCACGAACCACATCCATTAAGGCTGTTAAGTGAAATGGTATTAAAACGCCTTTCCATCTGAATAAATGCTTACTACTTGGTTTTCAGGTCCAGGCGATGTTCCGGAAGAGGTTATACTAGCATTTATACAATAATTGGTTCGCTTGACTGCCAGCGGATAGTTTCGCCAAAGTGGGGTTCCGGGTAATAGCGTTGTACAATAACGATTGGTATAGGGAGAATTATTTTTAGATATCAAACTACAGTGGCTACTTGATGGCTAGTGAGCCGCTGAAAAGGCAAGTGAGGATGTAATACTAGGGCATATTCCCTCAGGGGATAGTAGTTGTTGATCAGTATGGGCGCGTGAATTTAGCAGTTTGGTTGAACGCTTCAGGAACACAATTAGATTCTTTATCAATAAATATTCACAATGCTTTTGTATTACTCCGCTAATGGACGTGCGGTTCAGAATCCAAATTACCCTCAAGTTCCTCCGCTAAGTCTGCAACAGGTACCAAATCGAGTTGGATAATAAAGTAGCTTGATGATATTTGTAGTGAGGAGAGACATTCCTGAGCAATATGCGAAACTGTACAAATAAAAATGAATTGCTATACCTCCAAATAACTCTGCATATAGGGTATTAAATACACTCAAAAGGCCCGATAGTCACAGCAACCTATTGAGAAACGTCTGCCATCGATTAAGCTTATCAAGTGGAAAAAGCCTTAAACAAAACAATGCGTACTAATTGCGACTGATTATTAATAAAAAAGTTTAATCAATAGTAAATTTAAAGAAAGGTGCTCATTACAAAGTGCTTTGAGGGAGTTACTTCTAGTTCACGGATAACTTTTAACGAACACTATACGTGCATCTATTTAGCTGACGATAATACGACATTATATTGTTTCAGTGTCTTGAATACTTAAGATTAAAACTGTTGTTTTTACTGAATATTTATATGAACTCATAAAAGCTCCGAAGCACAAACTTTGGTTCGAATTTAAGTAAACCGCTTTAGGATCCGTGAGTTAGTACGTTCTTTGTCAGGGTCAACAATCGTCGAAACCAGCTCCGGAATGAGATTTCTGTTATTATTTACAGGACTTTTGGCTCTTTGCAGTGCCTTAAATTTGACAGGTGTGCCATTAAGTTTTACCGAAGAGGATGAAGTGCTTTCATTGATATCAGGTGCGTAAAAATACCGACGTAAAAAGTGTGAATTTTAAGACTGTTATTTAGTGAGACACCTTATATTCCAGGATAATTTTTTAACTTTATCGTACAGTAAAATGTTTAAATAATTTCCAAAACATTTTTTTTGTGGCTATTGAATAAATTATTCCACATTACAGCCATTAACTAGATTATATATTTATAGGTATATTTTACTTATCTGCCCACGAAACCGTTATACAAATTATGTGATTTCGAACAGTAGCTTCCAAGAAATACAAACTCATATCCCATATGTGGTTATCTGTTCATAGCAGTGATAAAGTGCTCCCCCAAGGCCTTCCCTCTTACCAGAAAAAGGTTTTATTTTTACTCATAGTTATCGAATACTAGGGCTTATCAACAATTGCGAATTTAGTGGTTGATATTTGCTCCTGCAGTAAAATGAAATTTATTGACCCAATAAAAACCAATTAAGCAAGTAAATTTATTATTACGAAAGCTTAAGTATTTAGTAATAGCATGTCAATGTCGCTAAAGTTCTACGGTTATCGATGGTATATTATGCATTGATACATGTACATATGTTATAACATAACATAAAATTAAAAAAATAATGTTTGAACTTGAAATTTTTATTCAGAGTATGTATGCCTTTAATATATGCATCCGCATTTATGTACTCTCCACAGATGAAGTCGCCCGCAAATATGCCAAAGAGTTTAAAGCTTACCTGAAAAGTGGCGTCGAGTCGGAAGTGTTTCAACAGATGTCCAAGCAATTGGCAGCCACACACTCACAGAAAGAAATTTTCACACGCAATATCGCAGATTTGCGTGCCGCCGATCAATTTATCGTTTGCACGACTTGTCGCGCCACTTTGTCGGTGTTGGGCGATATGTTTCGTGAACCCGAGGGTGAGTTAAACGGACCAACAGCGGATCAGATAGCGAAGAAAGTAATGCTTCACATTTGCAATCGTCTAAATTTACAAACTGAAGAAGTTTGTTCAGGACTATTCGACTTAAATTGGCCCATCTTGAATTATACCATTCACAATACTGTGGCTGAGACCCGCAGCTTATGTGGCATATTACCAATCAGTTTTTGTCAAGTGAAACAGAACGAATACAATTTCACGCTGACGATCGATGGGAATTCTGTTGGCGTTGATGGCCCTAAAAGCAATATACCCGTCAAGAGTGATGCAGATTGGAAAATATTGCAGTTGACCGATATACATTATGATCCTGAGTATGCACCTGGTTCGTTAGCTGATTGTCTAGAGCCAATGTGCTGTCAGCGTAGCTCCGCATCCGGTACGATTGAAGTTAGTAAACAGGCTGGTTACTGGGGTGATTATCGTGACTGTGATACACCTTTACATCTGATCGAAAATGCTTTCGAACATATTCGGGAGACGCACGAGAAAATTGATTATATTTATCAGACCGGCGATATTGTGTCGCATATATATTGGGCCACAACTAAGAATGGTAATAAGGATGTATTGTCGAAACTCAATCAATTGATTGCAGAAAAGTTCGATGGTATACCCGTATATCCGAATGTAGGCAACCACGAATCGCATCCCTCTAATGTGTAAGAGAGTTCATTAAGATTATATTTAGGAATTTATATTGTACAAATATTATCTTCGCATAGATTTGGCGCTATCGATGCTCCGGCCGAATTCAACGTTAGGTGGCTCTATGAACATCTGTGGTCGATTTGGTATCGTTGGTTGCCGACTGATGCCGAACAGACAGTGCTCAAAGGCGGTTATTATACCGCTTCACCCAAACAAGGTTTCCGTGTAATATCAATAAACAGCAATGAATGTTTTCTCTACAATTGGTGGGTCTATCATAACGGTAGCATTGCGGTTGAACAACTGCAATGGTTGCACGATACTTTGCTCGCTGCCGAGAAGGCTGGTGAATATGTTCATATATTGACCCATATACCGTCAGGTGATGCGGACTGTTGGACCGTGTGGGCACGTGAATTTAATCGCATTATAGAACGTTTCAATCAAATAATTGGCGGCATCTTTACTGGACATACTCATGTGGATGAGTTGAATGTGCACTATACGTCGAAGGGTCATGCAGTGGGTGTGTCTTGGAATGGAGGTAGTTTAACGACTTACTCCAACAAGAATCCAAACTATGTCGTATATCAGGTCGAACCAGAGAGTCTGGTATGTAGATATATATTTTAGTCTAAAACAATATGATTATATATTTTTATTTCCTCATAGCAAGTAGTTGATTATGAAACATGGATTTTCGACTTGGAGATAGCAAACTCACGAGGCTCGGGCGCCAAACCTGAGTGGTTTAAAGAATACAGCATCACTGAATTTACAAGTGATCTTAGTCCAGCTGGTTTAGATGCGCTATTGGATCAACTAGCGGAAAACCCAAAACTCTTAGAAACGGTAATAATAAATAATTGTGTCAGAAATAATCGATTTTTGGGCTCTTCATACATTTCTACCTAGTTTTGGCAGTACAAGCACACTTCAGCTAATCCACGTGTAAATAACGGTTGCGATAATAAGTGCTTGTCTAAAACGCTATGTCGCATGGCAGTAACTGTCTTTGATCAGAAAACGCGCTGCAATCAATTGAAAGCGAAGTTGGAAAGCAATGTGAGTATTTGAAAAGCTATCTAAATATGTAGTAGGATTTTTCGAGATTTTTCTTATACCTTATCTTATTTTAAGACTTAAAAACTTTTCAAATATCGCTATCTCGGAAGAACTTGGAAATTTTAAATTTCTACTTTTATTTTATATTACAAAGCTACCGGCGATCACCACTGAAAGCCCAACAGCTGGACCAAGTACTGGAACACCAACAACACAAGATCCAATTACCACAGAGAAACCTGGGGGCGGTACAGCTTCTTTAATTTTTGGCGTGCAACTAACAACGATGACATTTATTTTGCTTTTTGCTCGATTTCTTTAATAAAGTTCCTATGCACCAAATTGATTACAATATTTTCAGGTTAGATTCAATAAATATTTTATAACAAGCAGTGACGTTTTTCTGAAAAGTATTTTTATACTCTCGCAACCTGTTGCTACAGAGTATAATAGTTTTGTTCACCTAACGGTTGTTTGTATCACCTAAAACTAATCGAGTTAGATATAGTTTTATATATACAATATATAAATGATCTGGATGAAGAGACGAGTTGAAATCCGGGTGACTGTCTGTCTCTCCGTCTGTGCAAGCTGTAACTTGAGTAAAAATTGAGATATCTTTATGAAACTTGGTACACATGTTTCTTGGTACCGTAAGACGGTTGATATTGCATATGATTGCGTAATCGGACCACTGCCACGCCCACAAAACGCCATTAATCAAAAACAAATAAATTGCCATAACTAAGCTCCGCAATAAGATACAAGACTGTTATTTGGTACACAGGATTTTTTTAAAGTGGGCGTGGTTTAATGTACATATTTCCTAAGCCGCTAAAGCTATAATAACAAAATTCACTGGAAGCAAATGTTTTTAGAACCTCTACCTATAGTGTGAAAATAGTTGAAATCGGGTGGCAACTCCGCCCACTCCCCATATAACGGTACTGTTAAAAACTACTAAAAGCGCGATAAATCAAGCACGAAACACGTCAGAGACATTAAATTTTATCTCTGGGATGGTATGAGATAACTTTATAGGAACCGCGTTCAAAGTTAGACAGTAGGCGTGGCACCGCCCACGTTTAGGTGAAAACCCATATCTTGGGATCTGCTTAACCGATTTCAACCTAAATTCGGTGTATAACGTTCTTTTTATATTTCTATGTACGGTTACATCCGAACTTATCCATTCCTTACTTGTTATTCTTATGGTATGTATAATCGGTTATTTAAACACCTGTTTCGGGTAACTCCCGTTGTATTACTAATAAATAACTAAACTTTGATATAGGAGCCTCAACAACACACGTGGGATTATGGAACTGATCCATTTGTGGACACGTTATGCCGTTGACTTTGATACCTCTTTTTGTAATTGATGCAAAAATATATGATCAGGGATCTCCGCTAGTCGCCGAACCAAATGCACATTTTTGGCATATAACACCTTAGCCTACTGTGGCAAATATTCCCAATTTGCCTCTGGATAGGTTACTGCCTTATAGGGTCACTTATATTTATATATTTTTGTCCATAGTGCTCAAATAGAATAAAGGGTCTTAACAAACAAATTATAATCAGATTTATTTATTTATTTGCTAGAAATTTAATTTCTCCCCACGAATGACCGCTTTTCTGCGTTTTGTTTCGACTTCCCGCCTCCTTGAGTTGGCTGGTCTCTCGCTTACTTGAGGACTTCAGCTTAGCGCTGTTCTAGTAATGTGAAAATGTAATTTTTGCAAAATGTGGCCGATCCATTTCCAATTATGGCCAGAATACCCGAATTATCATTCGCAGACATCGGTTGAGAAAAGATTAGAGCAGTACAAGGTGTGTTCAAAGGAACAGGTGAATTTTGATTTTTTTTTAAGTATTTATTTATTCATAAATATCTAATTTGTCACCTTCAAAGTAATTCACCTCGGATATAATACACTTGTACCAACGCTCTAAATGTGACATTGCTTTTGCTCAAAATTTAGCAATTTCGGAACAAACTTCACTGTCACACAATTAATGCCCAAAACATTCGAGAAAATTAAATTGTGAATTTGTAGAAATGGGGTTTCAGTAGTGTTGATGAAAACAATTTTTGGGTTATACTATGAGTAGGTTATATCCTTCCAAAAATAGTTTCACTTGAAGTCCAGACAGCTAGAACTTATTTCCTATGCCATAACACTATAACAATTTCCGCTGAGACTCTTCATGTGAAAGTTGCGATGAGCTATAGGAGCTTTGAGAAAAAATGAATAATATTACAGACTCGTCTTAAAACCAATTGTTTGGTAAAAACACTAATGTAAAATGGAATACTATTTTAAAAATGTGGATTGTTTGAAGACTGGAGTGCGTAAAGCTGTAGACTTTTTAGAAAAGGAATTGTTAGTGGTAGTCATTTGTAGTTCAAATGAGTGAAATACAATAAACGATACACATTAGAATGATCGAAAATTCGATTTTTAGTAATCTAACTACTGACGTTCTAAAATGAAGTGGTTTCTAGACCAAACAGTGGTCTATTTATATGGTTATTATATAAAAATAGCTTGAAAAAGCTAATTTAGAATTTTAACCTTAATTTTTTATATAGTTCCACATGGCATCCACATATGTCATATACAAGTATATAAGTAGTGCAATGCAGTCCCAACGAAAAGGATTATTTACGGCTTCAAGCGTCATTCTACGAACAAATTCAATCAATAAGTGGTAAAACCCTGTATATAAAACGAAAAATGAGTTAAGTCTTTTATTTATATTGAATTGCATTTTTCTTCTTGCTTTACTATGAATATTTTTTTACTAACTTTACATTTAAGTACATACAAGTACATATGTAATATACAGGCGCTGAATGTCTCCAAATTTTCGGAAGCAAGCTGTTAGCACGGTTACTACACACAATTACGCAAAATACATTAATAAATTGAAACTTTCGAAAGTAAGTATGCATATGTACAATAGCTTCTAAGTACTAAGTACTAAGATGTGTAAACAATTGAAATTTCGAGCAAACAACTTATTTTGACTGATTCTATAATTTATTTTATTATTGTATTTTACTTTTTGAAATTTTTGTTTTTTACTTTTTCTGTAGACAGAGCTCAACAAATACCCCAATTGAAACAGGCAAGCTTATTATATATTATATATGTATAATTGAGTGTCGCATTCTATTACTTAAAAAGCTGGTCGTAATTATTTCCCGCAAAATCTTTACTTTTTATCAGATTTTTTCCCTTTATATTGAAATTTATAGCGCACAAACAAGTGTGGCGATGTCCAGATCGGTTTCGTCAGCTTTGCGTAGCATTACGGCTGCATGGTTCTGATATCGGCCAGTGGAGATCAAACGCACCGTGGTTACACCGCAGAAGATTGCCTGCTCGGGACCTGATATAATAAAAAGATAAAAGCAGTTATGAAAATTGAAATCTTTATTTTGTTGCAAGTATATATATTTTTTATTATTATTATTATAAAGTACCTTGCTGATCGGAGTAGCCGCAAACATCTGAAGACTTCTCCATTGCGTACGCATCCAGTCCGGAAGAGCCACCGATCTCTAAGCGATCCTCATACATGCCACACTGTGAATTAGGCACGAGTTATTTCAAAAACCACTTAAATATAAAGTGCTAGCTTGCTTTACTAACGTCATAATTAACTTTCTCGCCACGCATGTTCTTGCCGCCAATTTTCAAACTGGCCACTGAGACAGCGGCCGGGAAGAGTGCTGAGAGTGTGCAATTGCGTTGCTTACCGAAATTAGCCATATTGAAGATGGCGGTCGTGTCTTGCGCCAGCACGTTGCAAGCTGCCTCAGGTGAAACGCAAACAGAAAATAGCAATAATTACTTACCATTAGAATAATAAGTAAATATATTTGTGGGTGCGTAATACATAAGTGGCATGCCACACACACACACTTACGCTGTGTTATCTTGTGAAATCGAATGTGTGCAATGAAGGAGCCGCGGAATGGTATGCGATACTGCAGCAGCGCTGCATTTTGACTCGAACGGAAGAATTTCTTATTCGCAACACGTGGCCTGCAAGCGTACAAATGTTAACTTATGTGTTGCAATCGTTGTACGACGCTTGCCACAATGCCTTGTGGCACGACCAACCAAATACGTACCATTGTTTATAATTGTTGCAAAACTCGATGACACGCTCTTCTAGCTCGCGATGATGATCCTTGATGCCCGGAAAATATTCACCATTCAACTCCCAGCCATCGACAAACTGTAAATGAGAAAAGTGTATAGTGAAAGCCGATATGAAAATTGCAAATTGCATTAAGCGTTGGCGAAAATTCAATTTAGCGAATAATTTATTCACTTCATCGATGCAACTTTTTGCTATTTTCTTGTCATCACTTTCTTCTAACTTATTTTGTTTTTGTTTTGGATTTGGTCATTTACTTACAGCCATTAGACCGCCGGTCGCACAATTGACATCGTAGTGCTTCATTGTTATTTCAACAATCGTGTCGGGCTCGCCAATCACATAGAGGCCACACACCTCCGACGTAGACTCTTCTACAGCAGCTTCAACCAGTGTCGTTTCCTTTGTGTTGGCCACCAAATGTGGAATCTTTTTAAATACATATTCGCCGGGTTCGGATGCCACATGCATACAATCTATATGAAGTACGAAATGTAGGAGAAACAAAAGTTTTACAATGATTTAGTATCTTGAATATTGAATTAAAATGTTTTTAACAATACGAGAGAGCTCCGATAACAACTTAGCCCACAAAAGGAGGACCGAAAATTTTGGAAAAATCTGGATGTATTTCTTAACATGATCTTCTTTTAGCGTGACCTGACACAGCGATGCTCCACATTTTTAACTCGTTTGAAAACTACGTTTTCTGGAGGGTTTCGAGGTAGACCTCCGTGGAGCGACGTTCCAAATTTTTAACTCGTTTGAAATACAAGTCGAATTTCTGCGAGTAAATTTTTCATGTTTGTTAATGAAGATCTTTAGGATACGGTAGTTCGGGCTTCAGTTCGTAATTTATTTCAACCAATTTGTCCGCGGTGACGGCGAAAGTGTGAATCCTTGACATGATGGTATAATATTTTTCTCATCGCCAAATTGGGTTGTTGAATATTCTTAATATTTAAATGCAAGACTTTCCTATGAGTTCGTTTGAAATGCGGTCTGTCAATACAAGATAATGGACTTGAAATTTTTAATTAATTTTTTAGTTCGAACGAAGGGTAAGAGTCACCCAAAATCAGCATCTAAGCGCCCGATAAATTCACTATTTGATTCCCCTTACTACAAGTAAAACAAGAATCAAATCCCTTACTGTAGTTGTTCTTTTTCGATTTTCTAAAATCAGCGGACACGCGATATCTGGCGATGAAGGAAGCCGCCGGGCTTTGAGGTTAAGTATTTATCCGACTGTCCTCGTATACATATAAATAATTGACCAAGTATGTTTGAAATCGGCTTTCTACCGCTCTCTGAAAACTGTTAGAAAACTGTGATTGCATACTAAGTATAATATATAGGTATATAAGTAGATGTGTGCATAAAATAAGAAGAGGCATATACATATATAATATATGCATACAAATCTGCACTCTTTCTCCTTGAGCACGTTTCTTTTGTTCTCTTCAAATATATAGTAACATATATATGTGTATATTCATATAATCAAGCTCTATCTTTATCTAGTTTTATTAACAAACATTCACACGAAACACAATTTTATTGTTGATTTATGGCTTCTAATTTTATTGCAATTTCGGCGACAAACTTTAGCTTCCCGTTTCTATTTCTATGCTTATTGCTATTTGTGTACACATGTGGGTGCTTTATTAGTTTTTGACCAATTAAATACAATCATTTTATGCTTATCACATATTGTGACGTCATAATATTAGTGTGAAAATGGCAAGGGATTATTAATAAAACCCGGGGAAAACTCAAATAGATTCATCATATGCTCCACTTACACTAAAAAAGGACAAGTAAGGTATGTACGAGTTCGGAAGATACCAATGTTAGATGCTACACGTGCTGAAAAGTCTTTAGCATAAAAGTAAATGAACGTTTTGTTTTTGAATGAAAAAATAACTCTATTCCTCGACATTAACTACATCTAGAGTAATACATTTGTTGTAAAGGCTCTCCAACATTTCAACACCAGTTCGACAGTGTGAAGCTCCCGAGGACTTCAAAATAAGCGTTTTTCATCTTGACTTGCTCATTTCAGAGAAACTCTTTTCCGAAAAGCTACTTTTTGAGTCCGGAGAAGAGAAAATAGTCACAAATCCGAAAAATACGTCAGGTGAGAAACTAGTTCGTATTTCAGGAAATAATGTTGTATCAAAGCGCGAAATTCATTTTTTGCCATTGTTAACAAAAATAGCAGAGGTAGCGTCACATTGAGACCAATCACTTGAGAACTACAACTTTTCTATATTTTTGTACGATGATGTAAAATTACTTATTTCTACAGATATTTAATTCAGCTTTATACCTACTTGCGATGTGAATCTTGAAATTATTCGATAAACGTAGAAACTTTTTGTTTTTGTTTTTAATACATTTGTGAATTTTAATACATTAATTATCTATATGGCAGAGTATGGTTAGATATCCAACTTTTTACTTGAGCTTTCGTGCATACTAGTTCGTGAGCGGACATCTTTGCCTCTTAATATATTGTATAAATATAAGTTATAAATACTACATGCCACATGTTGCAGGGGTATAAAAATGAAATTATCAACAGCTGTTCATTGCCACCTCGTCTGATACCCTCGTGACTGAAAATACACTTCATCAAATCATACATTTCATCTCACGCAGTTTTCACGTGCTGTTTGCGTTTTCGCTTACTGTGGCTTTTTCACTGGTTGAAGGCCACATTCGATGTGTTAACGGTAGAAGTGGAGCGTTAGCAAGAAGGCGGTTGAATCACTTTTTATGACCAGTCCGTCCTGAATTCCACTTACATATATGTATGTACAATATTACTGCGAATTTATAGACGCTCTAACAAATATCCATACGAATGTGTAGTTTACTAAATTATTTGGGATTAAGTTTGTCACTGTGTTGATTAAAGCTTTATGTATCACTTAGCATTAGTGATTTGTAAATACTACCTCATGCGTGATGCCATAATTGACTTTGCCTGTTGGCTATTTGTTATTTCAATTGAAAATGCTCTTCAAAATCATATAATAAATGTTCGTTACAGTAGCACTTTTGTGGCCGTATGTTGCTTTTATTAACTTAGCAAATGCTTTGAAGGATTAAAAGTGAATAAAATCAATATAGGGTTCACCAAGATTATTCCAATGAAAAATAATATATAGGCTTGGCGAAAAATTTCTGGAATCATAGCTTTAGAGCCTTCTAGAAAATCGTTACATTGTACGAATTTCTAGTGTAATATAGTTGAATGAATAATTCTGAGAAAAATCGAATAATTAAAATATTTTGCATTTCAGGCCAAGAATAAACATTTTACAATAAATGAAATCTTGATTAGAGATATGTTCAGCAGAAAGTAACGGATCGGAACGGTTTAAGTAGAGAGCAGGTACAGGTTCTATGGATCCAATATCCGGAAAAACCTCCTCATTCTCCATTAAGGCTTGAACGGTTACATTATAGTTAGCTTTTAAACTGCCACTTGTCACTAAGATCTCTCCAATAGAACCTTGAATTTGTTGGGAAGACAGGTGAAGACAAGTTTAGAAATAGTGTATTAGGAAAGAGGGAACTTATAAAAAAGCAGAGCAGGAAATATTTTAAGGAACCAATGTTTTATGTTGGTACAGTTGGTTTTCTTCGCTGCGATTACCGACTGGATAAGTATTGAGATTGTAAAGCAGAAGAGACTCATTCGTTAGAAAGAACAATCTAATATCTAACAGTATGGATATAAAATAAGTTATTTTTACCTGAACTACTACAATTGTCTACACTATCATATGCACTAACTTAATCTTTCGTTTGAGTTTTTTATCGAACCGTCTCTATAGAATCGTTCAGAGTAGCTATAGGTGTAGAAACCACCTTTTTATACTCTCGCAACCTGTTGCTACAGAGTATAATAATGTTGTTCACCTAACAGTTGTTTGTATCACCTAAAACTAATCGAGTTAGATATAGTTTTATATATACAATATATAAATGATCAGGATGAAGAGACGAGTTGCAAGCTGTAACTTGAGTAAAAATTGAGATATCTTTATGAAACTTGGTACACATGTTTCTTGGTACCGTAAGACGGTTGGTATTGCAGATGGGCGTAATCCGGCCACTGTCACGCCCACAAAACGCCATTAATCAAAAACAAATAAATTGCCATAACTAAGCTCCACAATAAGATACAAGACTGTTATTTTATACAAAAGATCACATTAGGGAGGGGCATCTGCAGTTAAATTTTTTTCATATTTCTATGTTATATAATACTTGTAGTGCTAAAATTTTAAATTCCATCTGATTCTTTCACTTTCCTTATGCAAATTAAGCAAAAATGATTGTATCGGGGTAAAACTTGCGTGAATAATGCATTTAAAGTGTGCCACCTTGTGACTAAAAATTGTCTAAATCGAACTTAAACTGTTCAAGCTCCTAGGTACTGAATATGTGGACCCCAGTGCCTTTAGTTGACTTTTTACCGAAAATATCGGTCAATGTGTAAGATATATAATTGAAATTCATATAATTAAATAAATAAATGAAACCTTTGATAATAGTATGTTTTGTGTCAAGAATGGGATGAATCGGAGCAATACTTTCTTTAATATAAAATTTTGCCAACACCTGAAGTAATTACCGGGCTTTGATCCTTGCAAGTTGCGAGAGTATAAAATGTTTGGTTATACCCAAACTTAGGACTTCCTCACTTTTTTTTTTTTTTTGTCACTTTCAGTTTATCTTCGAATAATTCGTAACTAGCCTACTCACTTAATTCCTGCTTTCATAAAGTCGATGTAGATTACATCGTGGAAATTTAACACCGATCATGTTGAGATCTTAAAATTTTACATCGATTATTTTAGAAGGATACAATTGTACTCAAACCTAGAACGTTTATAAAGTAGATTATCGCAGACTGAAAAACTGTGAGTATTTTGTTTTAATATTGTGACTACCCCTTGTTTATCCTCGGTATAAACTTTGGTTTTCTTTTTATAGTGGCCAGTCGTGGCGGCTAATTGCTTGTAGAATCAGAAATTGGAACTTTAGTTTCCTTCTAGTGCGCACAGACAATTTTTTTAAAGCCCAGCAATAACAGCAAGAGACTTGATAGAAAGAATAAACGACCAATGTTGCGAATAAACGACCAATGATACAAAATTCAAACCTTGAATTGGAATGAATTTCAAAGTCCTAAGAAAAGCCAATGATACCAAATTTATACCTTGAATTGGAAATGAGCCGATAATTTGTGAAGATCAAAATTATTACTTTCCTTTCCCTCTCCTTATAGTTATTGAAATTAGTTGGCTCAGCTTGGAGAGAGCACTAAAATATCAGTATAGGGTTTTAGAGTTGTTACTAGTGGTCTCGCAAAAAATATTCTTTCAATACTATACATAGGCCTCCCTCTACTTCGTACAAAGTTACACTATCTATATAAGTATCTGTCTGGGTGCCTGGCCACAGTGGAATCGCCAGAAATTGCAAATCCGATGAGCTTGTAAGAAAATACATTTATACTCAAATTCCATCAGCATGGGAACGAGCAGGGGTTCCCCTGTCTTCGTGCTCTTGGGAGCTGAATCTATGGGCTTTGCGCCAGCTCAGCAAGCTTTGGTCAGCAACCAGCACTTTTGGGGTTGCGAAAGCCTTCTAGAAGAGAGTGGGACGTACAAGGTCCATTGAACTGCTAGCCCTTAGCCATGCTCACGTTGCCGCAATGATAGGCGTCCTAACTGGATACAGTCTCATTGTCACTCACGCGGGTAGGCTAAAGATGTTGGAGGACGCAATTTGTCAAAGCTGCAATGAGAAAGATGAGCTGGAAACATCTAGACACTTTCGCCTCCACTGTTCGGCTTTCGCTATCATAGCTGCCATACTTTGTACGAACCCGGCGAATTGGCTGGAATTGATATTAGCGGCCTCAATAAATTTGTGGCAGGCTCTAGGCGTTTTGTCGATATGCGATGGTCTTTTTGGTCCAAACCTAGAAATTCTGGGCATCACAACGGACAAGCGTCTCTAGCAGTCCAAGTGGAGTTTTTCGTGGCTTCTCGAGAAATCATTTATCTAACCTAACCTTACCTAACCCAACGCTATGTAACTATTAGAATAGATATATGCATATATTTTCTATACAATAATTTTAAACTGTATTCCCTGTATCCTACACGGAACTATTCTCTTACAAACTTATGCACATACGTACAGATGTATGTACCTATAAATATATGACGTTTTATGACTGACAACGGAAGAGTTTTAGAATACAAATTTGAAGAGTTATTTGTTACTGTTGTAACTTGAAGCTCTTGAGACAGTTTAAATAGAAAGAAGGTGAGATGAAAGCTTAATACATATATCATATTTATACATAAATGTAACTGTATATGTGTGCTTATGCTTACAAGAATGTTTACTTTAGAACTTTTAATTGCTTGTTTTCACAAAACCTCAAAACCAAGGGAAAGAAAGGAAAACGTTATCGAAAAATTGCTTTAATTAAATCACTCAAAGCCAACGCATGAATACTGAAGCGAAAACAATGAATCAAGTTGACTTACCTGAAATTACATGAATGTTATTGAAAGCTTCATTGGCAAAAAGGTCGAAAGATTTCTTCACCATTGGCCAAGCCTGCAAAAAAGCAACAACAAAGATTAAAGCTGAAAGAATAAGCTGAAGAGTATAAGAAATGCTGCAAGATTTCACTTCAATCTGTTTGCTTCACAAGCAATTTGATGAAATTTACAGAATAATATGTGCAAATTTAAGTGCCTTCCCATAATTTATGTAAGCAAGTTTGTATATCGTCGTATCTGAAGACATCTGCTTTACAAAAAGCCTTTAATATCACTCGAACTCGCTGTATTTGGCTTATGTAGTACTTGTGTAGTGTGTGTGTAGTTCAAGTGGTTGCTGTACTGCCGTTAGTTATTTGTTTTAGCGCGACTGCCAAAGCAACTTTGCCAATGGCGAAGCCGGAAGTCAATAAAAGAATCATAAACTGTACACGAAATATCTGGTAACACATACATACTCATACCAACACAAGCATATCCTCTCTTTTGGCACTGGCTGCGGTCGCGATGACTTGAAGTGGTGTGATTCGCAGCGTGAGTTTTGAATATTGACCTTTTAACTGTTGCTCTTGTACAAGCAAATATGTACATACATATACATATAACATATAGTACCTAAGGATCTCAGTATTTTTAAGTATACATATATTTATAGGTATACTTATGTACGTCGCATTATATTCAGCGAGAGTATTGCCTATAATGTCATTAATGCTTTGTATATTAAAAATATGCTCTCATGAAATTGTATATGCTTTCCAACAAAGACGTCGTTATTTTTTTAAATCTGTCGTATCTATTCATTCATTGATTGAATAAGCCAATTGAATGCAACGCAACAAGGTCCTTAGTGACCATTATAACGGAAAAGTTTTGTGTAGTTCTAATCTCTTTACTGCTAATGTGCTAGATTTTCTTACGGAAATAGCTGCATGTGTCATATTTTCAAAGCGTATTCAAATTTTAAAACATTATAAGCATTTTTGTCGGGATATTTGAAAACAAGTGCCGATTGTGTTAATGTATATGTATATCACAGATACTAAAAGTTCCAGTTCAACTTTCAGCAAGCAATATTGCTTTGTTGATTGATTGACGAAGCAAAAAAGCTGAATGAAAAGTATCTTCTCGCGATCAGCCGCATTCCAATCATCAGTATTAAATTTGCTCAAGATTCAAGAATAGAGCGTTATGGACAATGCTTCATCTTAGTCGATTTAAGTCAAACCAATCGCAATGCATTCGGTTTCCATTGCCAGGTAAATATATTTGTACACGGTATTAACATGCTTTTTAAGGATAATATTTATATATCGTACTAGTCCATCATCCATTAAAGTAAATTCAATTCTTATCCTAAATAAGTATTATTTGAAAGCGTTAAAAGTTCGAAGCGTACTGTTAAACCAGGAATGATTTATAGCATGATATTTTATCGGACAATAAAATAGTATGAAGCGAATGGCACAAAGTCTCTTCAGTTGAATAGAATGGCTTCACATTAAAACAAAGCACCGATAAAGTGACTCATTAAATTGAAAGTTGTGATTCAGTTGCGGTAACTTGGAAAGTAATGTGGCCTATTCTACATTGTCTCACAACGTTAATAAGCAAAATTATCGTATTTTTGGGTAGAGGAAATAAAATCGAGATAAACAAAAGATCAAACCATAGCTGTTTGAGACAGTGTTTTCGGTGAAAATCGATATTATGTCAAACGCCACAAAATGTATTGGTTGGTATTGTCTTCAACATTACGTCGTGTGATGTCATCCTGTGAATAGAAACTGTCTTTTTGCAACATATATTCTTTTAAAAGCTGATTTCAGAAAGGAATGACATTGATATACGTCTCCTCTGACTTCTTTTTGGGTTAATTAATTGACGTCACATTATATGTATATTCCATAGATATACCTAAATACAGATAGTATATTTTAAATACAGAAAGTCATATAAAGCAGAAATATCTCATATTTATATATTATATATTATATATAAATATTTTTCAAATTAATCAATGTTTAAATACCGTCTATTATACCCTAATCAGATTATATACTGTTTGGCGTGAAATGATGGACATGAGGAGCTGAGTCGATTTAGCCATGTCCGTCTTACGGATCGACTGTATATCCGCGAACTAGTCCCCAATAGAGTATAGCTGCAATATAAACTAAACGATCAAAATCAAGTTCCTGCTTAGAAAACTTTTTAATTTATTGGGATATTTTCACGAAATTCGGTATAAATTATTATTAACAAAGTCAACGCTACAATCATCATACAAATTTTTCAGATCGACCAACTATAGTATATAGCTGCCATACAAACGGACTAATGAAAGTTAAGTTCTTTAACGTTTTTTCTTATATAAAATATATCGATTCAGATCCTTCCTGTTGAAAAGGCTAGTCACATCCCTCAATTGCAGCAAATGTATACTCAGAATAAGCAAACATAAAAAAAACATATACATAAGAAAACGCAAAAGCAAAAACTCCTTGGCAAACTTTTATCAGCTATGAGCAAACAATATTTTAATAAAAATGTTTCAATATCTTACGACACTCAAATGCTTAACGATCAACAGTGTTGCCATAACAATTTAATTATAGATTTATTGCATAACTCAAGTGGCGGGGAAAATAGGGTAAATGCAAATGAGTGAAAAATGAAAAGAAAAAAACAGACCAAAAGCGAGACACTTTCCGTAGTAGTTTACATTTCTGTACTTAAAGCAATTAAAAGCAAAGTTTGTGGAAAAAGAAGGTGGCAAGAGGATAATTCTGCCAAGAAAACGTTTGTTTTGATTACTCTCAGCCGCAGCAGTTGCTAAGTGTTGTAAAAAGAGTTGCATAGTATTTGTGGAATATAAATGCGTGTAATCTGGTTATGTAATATTCCGACTTTTCATAAAGCCACAGCAGAAAGTAAATTCGCTGCAAACTTTTCGCTTAAAGTGTTTATTGCAAATTCAAGACAAATTATCTTACAAACTGTAACCATGCATTATAACACTTTATTTAACATAATGTGAAAGGTGACTAGGTGATAATGGCAAAAGTTGAAAATTCAAGAAATTATATGCACTGGTTGCCATAAATCACGCCAGCGAGACGCGGACTTTTGGTAAAAAAAATAAGAGGAATGAGAATAAGTTACGAATTACTTTAAAATGAAATTAATATAAATTACAATAATTTTGTTGTAATTTAAATTTTATTAGAGCGACCTCTTAACGACGAAAGTTTTAAAAAAGTTTGCCTACAACTTTCCTTTGCTTAACTCAAAAATATGCGGTTTAATTACAAATCGATTGAAAGAAATTGTAAATGTAAACAAATCGAACGGTTAATTGAGTTGTCGGCACAAAACTTTGTCCATAACTAATAAACCTCAATAGCAGTACATGGCGTATACGAAACATATAGTAAGATAAGTATGTAAGAAAGATAGACACAAAATATAGGTACATATAAATCTATAATGCCGGAATAATTTTATATTAATTAGCACATAAAATGCAATGATTTCAATGCTTTATTTGTCTAATAATTGGTTACATATATTTGATACTTTGTTGGATATCTAATGAATTGGGATAGACATTTCTATTTAATTGGCTATAAATGCCATTATAATTCACAAATAACAACTATAATAAGATATCGCCTGCGGCCTTGACAATGCAATTGTAATTCAATTATAGTTAACTGCGACCAATAAAACCACAGGAATATAATATATATGTCTGCATACTCTTAAATACGTACATACATACAGATGATTACTGACACAAAAATACTTTCATTGCACTGTTGACATCGGAATGAAAACGTAAAAAAAAGCCATGCACACTGTTATCTGAGTGCAGCGGTGACCACTTTGGTTTGTTTGGCAGCTTTTTTTGACTGTCACATCTGATTGTCATTCAAATCTGAAATGACTGGCTTATGGAGTGATAAAATAATTCCAACTTGACTATAAATATAGGTACAGTGCCTGGGCTTGCAGTTCATTTTTATACGAAAGGGTTGAGGTTTGCGATAATGCAAGCAAAAAGTTCTTTGGAATTCAATAAAAGGTCAAAGGTGAAAATCGCGGTTTTGTTGTATCATGTATCATGTGTACAAATATGCTTATTACTTTAGCGCGTAAATTAGGCGTTTAAGTATTTAAGAAAATTATATAAAAGGGAATGCAGAAAATTGCAGAGCAACTGGAGTCGCCCGTGCAATGGGTGACACCAAAAGATAATTTGCCGATTATAATCATTAAAAATTTCCGTATATAAACCCAGACTAATACCTTTCTGGTGATCTATGTGTATTAAGAACAGAATTCTCACTAATTTTTACTGGTGAAATGAATCGACTACTCTACTGTAATTCGTATAATAAAAATATACCCTATTCATTTCATTCAATTTAAGAGACGGCTTTTAGAAAAATTTCTTATACTATTAATACAGGTATTATTAATATTCATATCGTAATTTTTTAAGTTACTGCAAAGTGATAATTGGTGTTAATCCGATGATTTCTGATATACCTCTATTCTACATTCTTATATAAAAATTGCTTTAGGCAACAAAAATCATTCCATAAATTTCCACTTTAAAATTAAAATTTTGCACAAAGCTAGATAAACTAGTAACACTGTAACCCGCCTGGAGTCAATAATGCGCTCCGCTGTTTTGGTCACTACTTCACAACAATATTTGCATAACAATGTTTACAAGAACACAATATATTCAATTTTCTACTAAAAAACAAAAAAATACAAAGAATTTCTCTTTCAAAAAAAGGACTCAAATATTTGTGGGGAGTGTGAGTACTCGCCGGTATTGATTACATTTTTTATTAAATTTACATTTCGACGACACTTCATTCCGTTGTACCATCATATTTCTTGAGTGAGTGTTTTTCATTTAACCTTTTCCGTGCACTCAATAAGTGGCATAAGCGGGAGTAGTGGTTAGCTATTAAACGTATATACTTATTAAGGGCATAAATGCGCGTTAATGAAGCTTCGACCCCGACTGTGATCATA